TCATTCTAGAGCATAACAAAGATTAATGCGAAATTCTGAAGACATTCATCATATTTACATTTTTTTCAGATGTCGCTGTTGGGTGGCTAGCAAGAAAACTACGGAAATTTTCTTTTTAAAAAGAGAAAACCTACTCCACGAGGACCACGAGGTTTTACGACACAATACTTTAAAACGTGAACGCGAACACATCGTATCGGCCTTAACAAGTGAACCTCGTGAAAAAAGTAAAAAATATTTTTCATTGCACCAGTAATTGTTTGTGCGTGTGTGTTTTTTTTTTTTTCGTGAACTTTTAGTACGAAATATCATGGATTACCAAGGCTCAAACCCCTTGGAACTATTAAAGAGCTCACTGGAACATGTCGATTGGTTCAATTCAAACGAGCGACATGATATTTTCTGGCAATTTTACGAGTTCTTCGCCGATTGGATTGGCCCCTGTCTCAATCTCCGTGATATTTTCGGGCTAGAAGACGTCGAGCGCATTCTTTGCAATGCCATAAATTTCTGCGACGATCCACCCGGGATGGTTCTCAATTACGGGCTAAGATTTATGCAACTGGTGACCAATAAGATCGGCTACAAAGACGAGCCTGAGCTGGGTATAGACGGCAAGCCATCCGAGCAACGAATCACGCCAATACATTGCGCGGCCAGACACTCCACCAGTTGCGGGCCCATTATTTACGAGCTCTTTAAAATTTACGACTCGTGGGACGTGAACTATAGCGACGAGCGTGGATTGACCCATTTGCACGTGGCTTGCGCTCATGGCATGGTCGAGATAGTGGAAAAACTTCTTGACGCCGGTCACGATTCCAATTGCATCATGTGGGAAACAGGTGATTCACCGCTTCATTTCGCTTTGAACAGGGGACACGCGGAAGTAGCCAAATTGCTGCTGAGGAGAGGTGCCAATCCGAATATAACCAACAACGAGGGATCGAGTCCTCTACACGTGATTCGATGGGACCATCAATATTCCGAAACTTTGTTGAGCCGGTTCTTCGATGTTATCGACGACCAAGAGCTGGAGGTGAAAGTCGACGTACGAGACAATAACGGCAAGACCCCGCTGCACAAAATTTCGTCTCAGATATTTTGGCGCAACGCAGATGCGGTCGAGCTGCTGGTGAACAGAGGCGCCGATCTCGGTGCAGCCTGTAGATATACGAGAACGACTCCTCTCCACATGATTTGCAGCGAAAAGTCTCCCGTCTCGAGGTGGACGTCGACGGATCTGTTCTTCGAAATCATCGACAAACATCAACGGACGGTACCAGTCAACGTCCTAGACGAGGAGGGCGAGACACCGCTGCACAAATCTCTGTCTCACGCACTTTGGGGCAGAAACGACATCGAGATACTGCTGGAAAGAGGCGCCGACCCAAATTTTGCCGATTCGCGCCAGCAGACGTGCCTGCATATCATTTGCAATAGATGGGAAGACGACGACTTGATCAAGGTATTCTTCGAGATCAATGACAACTTGAAACAAGCGATAGATGTCGATGCAAAGGACAGGTCGGGACGAACAGCCCTTCAGCGAGCTGCAGCCAGTCGATTGCCGGCTGCGTTCGATACTCTGCTGACTCGCGGTGCTGGTCTGGATGGATTCGTTTTTCCACGTACGAGTACCTTCGGCATGGAATCCGAAGAGCGAATTCCTTACTATTATAAACTGAGACTGGCTGCTGGCCTCGTTGGCATTGTGGAGTGTCTCGAGCGAAGAGAATTCAAGCTGGATGAAAGCGACTATCAGATGATCGTGAACTTTTTCGCTAAGCACGAATTGTTCGAGAAGTCGACGAAGAATCTCCGCAAACGTTGGTACGACGACGACAAGTTCGCGAGAACGGCAAAGCGGATAATGGTAAAACCGGACCTGTCGCTTCACCGCCTGATACAGTTACACCCGAAAGAGGCAGCGAATCTGGTCACGCATTCCGACTACTGCAGGCTCGCTTTATCGGTCGAATTTCGCGAGCTAAATGACATGGACACGAGGGAATACGGAGATGCGTGCGCTGCGCATCTGGCCGAGCAACTGTCGAGAAAATTTTTTCAGAGACGAGCACTGGATCCTTTTTGGAGACTGATACACTGTCTACATGTTAGAGTAAAGTTTACTGGGGGCAGGGGTAGACGAGGAGTAAAACGATTAATTATGAATCTATGATTAAACTTTATTTTATTAAGTAAAATTGCGCGAGGCAATAAAAACAATCTAGCGGCTCGTCGCTGCGCACACTATGGCAGGCGTACATTGAGTAGTAGTTACTCTGCGTGTGCGGGGCCAAGCCGGCAGGTCCGCGCACGCAGCACGTGCACATAGAGGGGGTAGCAGGGAAGTGTAGGACAAGCCCGCACTGATTGTGCCTACGGCGGGAGGCTCCCTCTAACACTACAGCCTTTAGAGGACTGCGAGGTGATCTTGGAGAGGTTCACGAACAAAGATTTGTACAATGTTTGCTTGACGTCCAAGATGCGTCCTACGAGTGGAAGTAAAATAATAAATAATAAAAGAAAACGCAACGACGATCGACCCGTGAGAACTGTGAAAGCTCCGAAGAGGCTACAGATTGAATGGTGAAGATTGCAAATGTTCTTTTTGATTCTTGCTTCAGAATTAACAAAGGGAATGGAAAGATAATGATTCAAACCAGTAGTTATCATTGTTAACAAATGTGTTATAAAATGTTTTGTGTCATTTAAACGAATAAATTAAAATGAAAAATTTAATTCATTGCTGGCATGTTTATTTTTTGTGTTCTAATGACCTATCTTAATCCTTACATATTCATTTAAATAATTTTTAAATTGTCGTTAAAGTTACGGATAATAATCATAAAGCATGCACATCTTTGCTTGATTTGAATGACAAAAATCTTCTCTTCTTTTGGCCCTGTCCAAAGAATAAGTTTAATAAAAAATACAAAGTGACACAGGCAGTAAAAAAAAGTTATAAGACCTGTTACAACTAAAAGAGTACCAAAAAGATTAAAAATTTAATGGTTTTCTTTCACGTCAAATGAATGGATAAATAAACTTTGAAGAAAAAAGTGATATTCCTCTTGGCAAATTGGCTTCAAAATAATCCAAAATAAAACAGCAATTTTGTTTCAATTGCATGTTTCAATTACACTAAAACATGTTTGTTGTTCATATTAAACTTATAAATGCTTTTTGACTCAGGTAATGTAAATAAAAATCAATTATCAATAACCAATTGATTCAAATGATTCACTATGAACTTTATTTGATTGAAGTTTCACGAATCCCAGAAGGGGAAAATAATTTGAAAAAAGACTCAAACTAAACTGTCTTATTAATGTAAAAAGTATCCAAAAAAGTTTAAAGGACAAGTGAATTTAAAAAGACATATCAATAAGACGCACAAGAGCATTAAGTCATAGGACTGTGAGATTGGCCACAAAACATTTGCATAAATACATTACTTGAAACGTCACATTGATTCAGTTCCCAATCGTAGCAGACCTTTTAAGTGTAAAATTTGACACAAATTATTTGCACACAAACAATACATCGAAATTCACATCAATGTCATACATAATCAGAACACACTCTTCGAATATGATATTTGTAACAAATAACTTGGATACAAAAATGTACTGGAAGCTCACATTAATATGGTACACAAAAAGAACAATCCTTTCGAGTGCGAGTTTGTCACAAATCATTTGAATATAGAGGTGACCTCAATAAACACATAAGAGCAGTTCATAATTGTATCAAAGCCTTTGAATGCGACACTTGTAATAAAATGTTTGGGGCAAGTAATACTCTCAGTAGACACATAAATGGAGTTCGTATTCAAAGGAAATCTTTGGAATGTAAGATTTGTCATAAATCATTTGGGGAAAATTTACTCTCAAATCTCATATAAGTACAGTACATGATCGTACAAAACCCTTCAAGTGTAACATTTGCCACTAATCATTTGGAGCAAATGTAAATCTCAAAATCCACATAAATGCAGTACACTGTCGTGAAAAAACCTGTCAAGTGTGGAATTTGTCAGAAAACAAGTGCACAATAAGGTGACCTTTCACCTTGATAAACATATAAAGTCAATGCGCGGACACAGCAAACCTATTGAATAAGATATGTGTCACAAATGATTTGGACACAAAACTACCCTTAAAACTCACATGAATGGGGTACATAATCATACCAACGTTTTTGAGATAACGAATTACTGGGTGACAGCATTATATGAATGTCCATATTAACTTGGTGGAGATGATATTTGAGGACTGTCAGGACAAATATAAGCCGGTGGATGTCGAGCCTGGGATGAATCTGGTGAATTAGCAATGCACTTGGCTCTGAAAGAGGGAATGAGAAAGGTAGTTGTAGTGCTGCTGAGAAGAGACGCCGATCCAAATGTAGCAGAGTTTGAGGTGTTAGCTAATGTTTTATTGAAAATAAAAGTTAGCATAGAGTTTTTTTTTATCAAAAATAATACTCAATATTTAATACATTTTAACAAATATTTACTACTAATAATCAGCTGAATGAAGATAATTTTGAATGGAAGATTAAATAAACAGACATTTAAGAAACTTAAAAGTGTAATTGGAAGTGGTGCAAATGAAATAAAATAAATTATACCTAAGAATAGTTTGCAATAGATAATAAATAAATGCAATAGATAAATGATATTAAATTTTCCATTTAAATACACAATACACTTGATGAATTGTACTAACTCTATGATATCTGTTTCTGTTACGATTGGAGAATATATCTTTAGAATAGAAAATTTTTCAAAAGTAACGAAAGTCATTTTATTGTAGATTGAATGTGAGTGTAAATCAGAAGTAAATCATGAGATATTTTAAAATATAAATTACTGATTTATTCAACAATTTTTTTGTGCATGTGTACAGTACCAACAATATTTACAATATTTACAATATGTACAGATTCAAGAACATTGACTTGCAAATGATACATAAATAGAAAATTATGTTTTACAGTTTTTTTATTTCTAGGTTGTTCACTGTTTTTACACTTTGAAATTCTTCACTTTTTGATTTCAAGAGATGATTTTTAATATTTTCATAAACAACCAATGTTATAACTGTGGCAGGCACTTTTAACAAGTTCACGTTTAAGCCTTTGTAGTAACCATGAATACCTTCATGTTTCCATATTCGTTTTATGCAATCGATTGTACCTGTATAGTTATGATTAACATCATGCAAACGTGTTTTTAATACTTGATGAGGATAAGTAACAGCTAAAGCAAATAATTTTGAGAAAGCTGCAAATGTTGTGTATTCTTTGGTTTCTAATTTTCTATTAACTGGGTGATTCAAATGTATGTTGTATTGATTCTTCATTTCTTCATAAACTACGAATTGTAGAGTACCATGCGATACACCAAATAAGCCAGGTACAAGCCCCTTGTACAATCCACGAATACCTTCATTTTTACTAATTTTGTGAACGGCATCAATCATTCCTGTATATCTTTTGGATTCTGGAAGATTTGCTCCTTTGGAATATTGTAAGCATAATCTGGTTTTAATAACAAAAATTGGATTTGACATCAACAAAGTAATAACTCCAGCATTAGCTGCGCACAAGGTATTCATCGACGCATTCAAAGCTTTTTCATCGTTGCCATCTTGTATATAACTTTTAAAAAAATTGTATATCAAAAGATAAGATCCCCAAGAAAAAGCTGCACCAACAATACTGGGAACTGCGCCGCTGTAGAGTCCAGCAAAACTTTCACTCCTGACTATGTTTTGAACAGCATTTACAAAGCCTGTATAGTTTCGATGAATTTTTGACTGTCCATCATTGACAGCAAAACGAATTTTGATAAGATCAAAAGGATGTAAAGCCACAGATGAAATGAGGCCCCCAGCCCCACCAGCGACCAAATGCTCGAACTTGACATGTTTAAATACTGATAAATATTTACTATTACTGGAGTTGGAGTAAGACTGCGCGGCACTCATTTTTATTCAACTGATTAACAATTCGTAACAGAATGTTGAAACTTGAAACGTTTTAAAACTGACTTTAGAACAAGTTACAAAGGTTATTTGCTATGAAAACGTTCCTTCTAGCAGCGTTGTGAAAAAGTTACTGTAGTCTGTAACGTGTCGGCCGTTGACAGCGTCGTCTGCCTCGCGGAGGCGTCGCGTAATTTCTTTGTCGACAAACTCGTACTGCTGCCAACTTATGATTTACGCGGCAATTCAATTTGATGCCGGGACGTGTAAAAACATGTTCCTACGCTCACGACACAGTGAAAAGAGAAAAATAAAATAATTGAAAATAATTAACAATTTATCAATTTATTATTTTATTCAACAACAAATGAGTATCAGAAGCTATTAATTCAAAAAATTCTTCAAATTATTTTTTTGTTTTACATAGGCTGTGTTATGTCCTTGATTAATTATTGTCTCGCGATGGTCAATCATATTTTTTAATGTAAAAAATAACATAGGCGGTCATAAAAAAATAGTAATACACTAGCATATGCAGAGCCCATGATTAGCTATGTTTACGTTTTCTAGCTCTTGCGTATAACAATTTGCACGGCATCCAGAGCGTATGGTTTTGGAACACATACATATTGACAAACTTTTTTGGAATATTAGTATTCTATAGTGAGCGAATGTAAATTCAGCCTACGTAAAACAAAAAAATACTTGATATCATATGAACGAAGATATGTTAGAAATCATATACTTTGAAAAATTTATTAAATTAATAGTTATGTGTATGCTTGTTAGTTGATGTTTGAAAAAATAAATGTATACATTGTTGTACAACCATTTTTTCTTAACTTCTAGGATCCTCAGAAGCAATTTCAAATTATCAGTACTCGCGTGCCAACGAAATTTCTCTCTCCAATTTTTTGAGCTTAGCAACGGCAGATTTTTTCTGGAAATGCTCATATATATGTGTGTGCCACGAATTACACACAATTAATGCCCATTGGTATCAGATATCCGTATTTTTTTCTTACTCCTACTTTCCGTCACAAAGAAAAACACACAATACGCGTACATCATCATTTAGTCTTCTATATAGTACACGTATATTTAGAATTGTTCGCTTCGGACGAGCTTTAAGCGCTACGTTTACAATTCGAGAAGCTTTCAAGTTTGACACACGTCCCGTCGTCGACGACGACATAGTCCAACGCCTTCGGCTCCGAGCAAAGTACGTGTTCTATATAGAGTCGCCTTCCAAGTCTAGGCTGCTGCTGCTGCGGCGGCGGCAGCGGCGAGTGTCGCACACCAGCGGATATTTCGAATTAATAATCCACGTGGGACAAGGCAAATCCTCGAGTCCGCTCGGGTCTGGTCATAGGGGTATTAACCAGACGGCGTATAACAGAAAGCCATGTGCTGCATTATAAGACGTGAGGTATTAGCAATTTGCTTCAGCTCGACGAGTCTCTCTCTCTCTCTCTCTATGTGTGTCATGCATAAGGACGACGACGTACTGCATGTTAATAAGGGATTTTAACTTTTCATATAGCCCTAAGCGTCCCATATACATAGAATATCGTGTACGAGTCAATTAGTCTATATATATACCATATATATATCTATCTACCTCTCAGTGCTGCACGCAGATATTTTTTAATGGAATTATATTCGAATTTATACGAGAGCGGCCGAAAGCTTCGCGGCCGCAGCTCAGTGTACACTCTGTATAGCTCCTCGGGGAAATAAATGTTTATGATTTTTGTTTTTAACGGCCTCGAGCCAAAGAGAGAGAGAGCGAGAGAGAGTCAAGACGAGAGAGTCTCGAAAGCTCGTAAAGATGGCTTGGTGATTACCGAGTGCACTCGCGTGCATATATATATAGTTATATGTATGAGTGTATTTTGTATTAAGTACTTAACAGTTTCTTCAGCCGCGTCGAGCCGAGCCGAGTCGAGCGCGTGACGTCGACTTTTCTTTATTACCCGCGGGTCGCGCGGTGCAAACGAGTCCGAAGGAGAGAGAAAAGTTTTTTTTTTTTCTTTATTTTTTAAATCCCCTAGCCTCCGAAAGAAAGCACATATTCTCTCTCTCTCTCGCTCTTTTTTTCTGGCGGTGACCGCACGTCGCTAAGCCTATATACAGGCGCAAAGCTTTATTGCCCCGAGGCCTATAGAGAGGATAACGTAGATATATATCTCCGGTGGAAAGGCATAACGATTGAAGTCCATTTTTCGTATTTTCAAAAAAGATGCGGACGAGTTGGGGTCTGAACTTATGATGTTTTAAGCAACTGTGAGGTAGCTTTCGAACTATGAAATTGAGAGGCGCATCATAGCGATGATACGTACGGAGCAAAAAATATGTGCTCAAGTTGTTTTGCCGCTCCACGCTTTGCACTCAAGTCCACTTTTGGCTGTCACACTTTTTTCAATATCGATAATTTCGCGCAGTTTGTCATCATAAACTCATTTAATGATTTCACATTGATAAAATAGCTCATTTAACGTTATACTGGTGTCAGATCTCAAATCGTGCAACGAAAAAAGGCCATACTGAAAATCGCGAAAATGGCCCCTCGCGTATCAAATGTACCAACCGTATAGTGAAATTCACAACATTCGAAGAGTGTGAGAGCTATTTGTATGTTCGGATAACATTTTCTTTCATTTTCAAATCAATCTAGACTCTATATGGCATTTTCCACCACTTAAAATTGAAGGCATGTAAAAGTCTATAGTCTCGAAATTTAATTCGTTTCTTAATCAGTATCGTCGTAACGATTAATAGGAGTTTTTACAGCTTTTTTGACTGCCTTTCAAATTTGATAATCGTTATATTTTTCTAAAGCCCATCCATCGACTCATGGTGTTTTTGTGTTTAGTAAAATATCTCTGGTGAAAAGGTGTAGATGCTGCAACTAACGATAATAGTACTAATCCTTGTACCTTAAAGTAGACACTAAATATAGGCGTTTTTTTATCATGAAATCGATTTCCAAAAAAATGGACTTAAGCCGTTACGTCTTTCCACCACAGATATATTATATAAGAACACAGGGCGAGTTTCTTAGACACGACGCATGTACTTCGGTAGGTATTAGGTACTTGCCCATCGGATTAGCAGCAGCAGCATCAGCCTATCGAGTGCACATCGTCAATGGGCAGCCCAATCTTCGCATTCCAGTCATCGTTATACACATTAGGAATAGACATGCTCGATATATCGTATAGTGATATACGCTCGATATGTGTCAGTGCAGCTACTCCCGCTACGGAGCAGTGTGTGCAGTCAAGCGTCCATAAGTAGATTAATGGGGGACTGGCACACACACACACACACACACACACTACACACTATGTATACGTCGACGCGAAGGAAGAGGCTTCAACTCGCTGCGCTTCGAGTGCGTGACGCTTTGTCTACACGTGGCTGTGTGTCTGTGTGTGCGGAGGCTGTGGAAGTACCTACCTTACGCCGCTAGTGGTACTACTCTGCCAACTACTGTACACGAGTCCGTATACAGATCCGCGCATATGCGCGCGGCGCTGTGCACGAAAGGCGATGAAAAGCTCGAGGTGACGGCGGTACGCGTCTGAAGCGTCGAATTTCCAGTGGTACAGTTATATAATAGTCGAATGGGTACCAGTTGGTATGCGTATTCCACGCGTGTGCGTAACGCCGCGAATACGATGTAGTTACAGTATTACACGCGTGTATCGTGGATTGTAGTCCGCGAGTTCGCGAAAGAAGGATTTAGCTCATAATAACCCATTTCCAAAATGTCATCCGTTTTACTTACGTTTATGTACAAAACTTTATCCTTTCACTTTTGGAATCGATTACGACATCTTGCGGCCAAGTCCGAAGCTCGTCGTCGATGATCCCTTAAGGCCATTAAATTTAATGGTTTTCTTTTGTTCCGCACGACTATTCTATAATTTCATCATATTTCGTGCGCATCGTACATCGTCATTAATTATACTTAGCCCCAAGTAGATTCATTGAATAAAAATATCAGTTTTGCAATTGTACTCACATCTCTTTATAAAGTGAATTGCTATTCAAAGGTACAAACGATCCATGATATGTCTTTTTTTTAAACTTTAATTTTTAATTAAAGTTGTTCAACGTTACTATTTTTTTCATCTCGAAAAGAAACGACTCCCAAGTAAAAACTGGATTGACCGAAAAAGTCCCAAAAATTAGTAAAAAAAGTACGGGAGAATTTTTTCTAGAGTTTGTTTTTGAGAAATCGAGGCTCTTTTCATTTTTAGATCCAAAACAAACTTTCAAACGCACTGGAGCGAGGGTTTTATGCAAGTTGTTAAATAACAAACACTCGAATGTATACGCCGAGAACAAAAAAATGTATTCTCGCAACAATATTCGGATAGTAATCTTAGACAACGTACGTTCAATCATTTTCTACCTGGCTTTGATATTTTCCTCAGACGTGATTTTTGAAATTTCTAAATATATCTCCGCGCTGGAATGAAACACGCGCGCGAGCTGTGCGATTTTTAATTTAAGCTTAATTTCATATTTTATACTCTGCAGCGCAAGGCTAATTAATTTCGGCTGCGATAAAAAATTTCTTTGCAAAACTCGCGTCGAAACGCTCGTTCTCGTCGCTGGCACATGGAACGGAGAAAGAGCTTAAATACAACGTTGATTCACTCGCTTCGTGTAGTCGTAACAATTTTTGCTGAAAAATATTAAATTCAAAGTCGAATGTACGCGATTCGAAAAATAATGAAAAAATGTCCTTCTCTCTGTGCGCACCGAACTTGGACAGTATATGCAGCGATATTCATTACAACGTCGATTGACATTCTTTGCTCTTTAATGTAAAATGTAAAATCAAGTTTAAAAATAAACGAACAATTTGTTCTCTTGTAGCGCACAACGAACGGCAAATCCATTACTGAAATAAAATCAGGTTGAATTCGCTTCTATTTTGAGCGACAAATTACGAGGGATATTTTGGGAAATGCATCGGGAAAATTAAAAATCGATCGATATCGCGAAGCAAACCGTGAGACGAGCAACTTAAATGCATGATTATTCTTTATTTATAGTCACATTATCGTAAACAGTACAAAATATCTGAATAATAGATAACATATATATTATTTCCATTTTTATATTTCGCCTGTTTTAAAAATGAACGAAACTCAACGATTTTGTTTTGTCATCTTCCCCGCTCTCGTCGTCTCTCTCAATTGTGAACGCAATAATATACATTGTTGTGTGTTTGTCATAAAAATCAAATTTTCACGCATTTTTCCGAAATTTTTTTCGACTCTTCCGTGGTATATATTGCAACGTAATCTCGCATCTGCACGTACATATAATATACTTCACGAGCATTGGTTAATGTCGCAGATAATTTTTTTTTCTTCTCTCGTCCACCCTCAATAACATTAATTGTATATGATTATCGATCTGCGCGATAAAATCAGATCACAGTCTCGTGTATTTTATTTATAATATTTATATTTATATTATTTTCTTTTAATTGGCAATGAATCTCTTTCTTTCTTTTTTCTTTTTTGTTACTAACGTTGCGACTGTACCGAGCATCACTTTGAGTATTCACGTAATAATATACATATACTTTTTTATTTTTCATTTGTTCATTTACAAGTATGTATATAATATAATATATATTTATATATAATTTCGTGCGTACACCTCTCGCGCGCGCGAAACAACGTGTGTGCTATTGTTTGTTTTGTTCAATTTTTTTCGCTCGCACTCGCTTTTTTTTTGTTTATACATAATATAATATACTTTTTTTGTCTATTTTATATATATAATTTTTTATGTCGATCAACGCAAATTGTACACAGCACGGAAGTTCAACTTCCATCGTCAGAGAGAGACAGATGAAAAATAAAAAAAAAAAAAGAAACCTTACGAAAGAGATGATTTTGTTTGACTTTTCTTTTCTTGATTTGTCCGTGCAATATTATATCGTATAATGTTACCAGCCGAACCTTCGAAGTTTTTCTTTTTCTCTTTTTCATTAAACATACAACGCTATACAAGTTTTTATATTAAAAGACACGCATACATACACACACACGTATCCGTCAGGGGCTTCGCGAACGAACGGAGTTTTCCCCAAAAATTTTTCCTGCGTCATGTTTAACCGCTGTCGTGTGTATCTGCGTTATATCGTGTACGCGCGCGTGGAGATTTGGAGGGGATAGGGCGGGGGGTGTTAAAAATCTGAAATAAGCCTTTATTCGCATCCTCACCCCCCCTCGAAGCAATGATATATAGTTTCAACATCCTTCTGTCCTAGTTCGAGAGCGATAAATCAACTTTTTTTTTATAACCGTGGATGCTATATATATGTATGTATATATACTCCATCGTGAAAGCTCTAAAGACGCGCGCGAGCGGCAGCGATCGCGTCGATTATATCTATATATGTACACAGACACACACACATGTACGGGTTTCGCCGTTGAAAAATGTCAGCGAAATACACGCATTATACCGAAAGAATCGATATTTTTCCTTCTCTCTATCTCTTTTTTGTCGCGTGAAAGAAAAAAAACCCGCTAACAGATAATCTATCAACTTGCATATGGGTTTTGACGACACGTTGCCGCTACCACTGCAACACATGCAAGTCTGTCGCGCGTTTGTGTGCATTATACGCGATGTATCTATGTGACGACGAGTACATGATAATGAAGAACACATTAGTTATGGTGGAGGTAATATTGCCCACATCCTTTCTGTCGAGTTTTCTATAAGCAAATCAACATAATACTGAATGTTTAGAATTTTTTACTACACTACCCAATGCCAACGATAACAAAATTAAATATCGAATGTAGAGAGATCTGCGCCTGATATGTGTGACAGTTTTGTTTTATCTACTTATACATAAATCAACGACGAGGAGTTTCAGAAAACAGAGATTTTTTTTCTACATCGTTCGGCTCGCTTGCGCACACAACATCTTCGTAATTTATAATTTTTCTTTTTTGTCATTTTCTTTTTCGATTTTTCGTTAAATTCTATTAATACTTCATATAATTTTTCTTTTTTCTTCGCAGTAACCCCGTGCGCTCGTCACGTTTTTTAAACTAACGCTTTTTTATATCTCTTATTACAATTTTTTGTATAATTAAACTTCGCTTATACCCTTTTGCTTACGTGCTATTTATACCCGTACATTTTGTTACATCTTTTTGGTTTTTGTTTCCTATAATATTTATCTATATATAATTAATATGTATAACACGAGAAAATGATTTATATACAGTATTACAACGCGTGTTTTTTTGGATGGCTCGTCAATGTACAGATGAGTGTAGGCGAAGTAACATTTTTTTTTCTTTTTTCTTCGCTACACGTAACATATATAATTTATAATAATAATAATATAATAATAATAATACTATATTCATAGATTTTTTGATTCTATTAAATCAATCGTTATACATTGAAGTATGAATACAAACGAGGCGAAAACATCGCGTATCGCTCATCGTTCGTATACAATAATAATAATAATCATAATATCAATAATAATAACACACGTACACATACCCATTTCACGAGCAATTATATTATCCTACATTCAACACTCATAAAATTTGCCATTTTTTTTTTTGGCGTTTATATCTTCGACGTCGATTAAAAACTATGAAAAACATAACAACGTTCTCGAATTCGCTCGTTTAAATAAAAAATATCTCTCCGCTCGTCATCGTTAATACATCCAACGAACAACAGTCAAATAGTTCAATAAATCAACGATACGTTATTTTTCTCTTTCGAAGCGATCAAACATCGTCATCGTTATTATTTATTATTATTTTCATTGATTTTCCTAAACGCTGCTCTCCTGCACTCGGCCGGTGGTGGCAGTGACTGTGGACGAGCCCGCGGACGACGACTTCTGCGGCGACGGCTCGACGTCCACGGTGACGCTCGTCGTCCCCCGACCACCACCACCCAACGTCGAACTGCTCGTCGCCGTCGTTGTCGTCGTCGTCGTCGTCGTCATCGATCTGGGCGTGAATCTCGACGTCTCGCTTCCTACGAGCTGCTGCTGATTCAGCGCCGCATTGACCCGGGCGTTGCGCGCCGCCGCGTAGCCCTTGTCCGTGTCGAGGTCCGCGGTGGCGGCCGACCTGCCGTAGCTCATCATCGCCGTCTTGCCGTAGTGATTCTTGTAGAACTCCTCGCGCGTCATGTTGCGCAGATCGCCGCAGCGAAAGCACAGTATCGCACGGAACGGCTTGCGAAAGTCCCGATTCAGGGTTACGTAGATGATCGGATTGAGCAGGCTGTTGCAGTAGCCGAGCCAGATGCAGGCCGACGAGAGCTCGTCCGGTATCAAGCTCGGATCGTCGAGGAATATGCGCACCAGGGCCAGGATGAAGAAGGGCAGCCAGCAGATGACGAAGGCCGACATGATGATGCCGAGGGTCGTCGAGGCCTTCTGCTCCTTGGACAGGTGGATGCCGAGGAAGGACTTTTTGCCGTCGCAGTAGCCGGCGCAGCCGCTTCCGCTACCACCGCTGGATTTGGTGCCGCTTCCGGACGACTTGGCCTTCTGGGCCGCGGCGACGGCCGCCGTCGATCGCTGTCGGGCGCCGTCGAGGATGTTGCGCGGCGGCTGGGCCTGCGGCACTACGACCACCACGGCCGGGGCCGTCGCCACCGCCACCGGACCGTCCAGCGCTCGCTGGTACTGCTGATGATGATGCTGATGATCGGGCGCGTGCCAGCGCGAGCAGCCCTGCGGACGATCGAAACAGAACAAAGGTATTAGTACAAATCTATATCCCTTTGTTATATCCTAAGCGTGTATTAATTGAGCTAATTAAATTTTCCGTACGTATTTCGATTCGCGAGCTTATAATAATAATAATGACATAATATATATAATACGCATTTATACAAAGGCAGCTGTGCGCAGAGTCGAAACGGAACCGAGGGTATTAACTATCCTCCTCCACCCAATGAGCTTTGAGAAATGTATCGAGTTTCCTCTCCCTTTCTCTACCTCCGCTATATATACGTATCAAACTGTAATCGTAAGATTTCGCGAACGGCGAATAATACATTGAGGCTAGAGAGAGAAAGACAGATATATAGATATATACAGTCGTCGCCCGAGCTCTAAAAGGCAAAACGAGTTTTTCAGACCATTGGCCTTATCGATCCCTTTTTGTTCCTTATCTTTAAGCGCGCGACGCGAAGGCAGCATTTATATATAGTATAACTGCTATAGGGTATGAACCTTAGCGGGTACTAGCCTTTTAAGCTTTCTAGTGGCTATATACACAGCATAGCACAGCCCTTTTACCAGAGACTCTAATGTTTCGATGCGCTACACACACACAGATCGCTATGTAGTTGGGCTCGTTTAAAACTATACTTATACGTACGATATGCAACCTACATATTTCTCATTTCTCGCTCGCGGTCGTAACGCACGACCACGGCGTCCAAAAAACAGGTAAACCCTCTCAAAACTCTTACCCAGCTTTTATCTCTCTCTCTCTCTCTCTTATAACGTTTAATGAAGCAATATTGTTTGATATAGTAATGATCGCCACCACCCCGGCGCGCATAATCAACGTTACACGATAAGAAAACGTCTGCTCGAGATCGCATTAAATGATTATGCGTATGATCGTACTTTTGGTATAATTATTATACACACGCGCGCCGTGTCGTACGATAATCGTCGTCATTGCGTCTATTTACCCGCGCCACCCACGAGTCATCTCGCTCTCTTTATCTCGAATTTGGCGAAAGAGCTTGGTATACATATGCGTGTGTGTGTGCACTCACCCACGCACTCGCGTATCGTTTCGCCTCGCTTGTATAATAAACTTTTCGCATTATCAATGCGCGCCGCGCCGGGCTTCGCTATTACGCGTCATTTATTTCGTACATTATGAGCAGCAGCAGCTATTACATTATAATATATAACAATGCTTTTGCGGTCGAGAAAATGAATTCACCCGCAATTGGGAAATTTTCGACTGCCGCGCTGTATTATATCGGATTATAATATATAATCTCTCTCTAAAAAAAGAACTTCGAGCACTGCCGAGTTCGCTTCTTTCCTCTCTCGCTCTCCTTATTTATTTATCTTTTACTTCTTCTTTTTTTTTTTGTACTTCGCTTCGACCGCACACGCGCGCTCCATAAGAGAAGAGAAGATCGTCAAAGTTGCACACACGCTACACGCGCACGCGTGAGAAGAATATAACTATCCTGCACACACCCCCGCTTCGTATTATGCACTCCTAGATTTACGTTATATAGGCTGCTTCTGGCTTGTTTTTAGTACTGCAATAAAAAGTTTTTTGTGTGTGCATGTGTGTGTGTGTGTGTGTGTACGCGCGTGGTGTGGCTCTGGTGTTGCTGTTTTTATGTCTAACGCTCTTGAATTACGATGCCGGTGGTGTTGAAGACGCGCGAGAGAGAAAGAGAGAGAGAGAGAGAGAGAGAAGGTCAATAGCCCGTTTGTATGCGTGCGTGTATGTGTTTCTGCGCGTGCCTTTTATAGAGATAGAGAGAGAGAGAGAGAGAGAAAGAGAAACCGAGTGTCTGACTTTAGCGCTGACTCGTACTACTTGCTGCTGCTGCTGTTTCTAATTTCGCGCGCGGAGGCAAACGAGCGTGATTATTTCGAGATTTTATTTTTTTTCGCTTTAACCTGTTTTTTCGGCAAGTCGAGTATAATTTCACCTCGAATAAACGAAATCGCGCGCGCGCGCGCCCTTTCGTGCATGTATGCGGATTCTACGCTACGCTGTTTTTTTTTTACTCTCTTCGTCCCGAGAGTCGAGTCGAGCTGCTTTGCCAAGCTGTCATCGTGTGCTCTCCTCGTGGCCCTTTTAACCCAAAGAGGTCTTAAAAGGGCTGACTGCCGCTACTGCTGCTGCTGCTGCTGCTTCAGCTTCAGCCTCTCCCAGACAGACACATCCGCACTGACAATAAACTTTTCTTGCCCTTTTTTTTTTTTTTGCTGTCTTGCCCGAGCAGCTCGCGCGTCAGGGCTACACTTATATAACTTGAATCTTCCTTTTTTTTTGTTGCTGCTCATCCGAAGATTCGAGAGGGACGAAGTAAAAAAAAAGGAGACTCGATAATTTCATCGCCACGTATCGATTTGCAAATTTCACACGTACACACACACACACTCTTCATCTATAGTATCTATCTCTAGCGCCCTGGGAAACTCGTACTCTCGCGTTAAATCCGTTAACTCGTTTATTTTTCAAGTGGAAAATGATAGAATAAATAATAAACTCGACGCTCCCTCTCTCTTTTATTTTGCATTCGTTTCTCTATTCCTCGCTCTCGCACAAGCGCATCAGTCCAATTATTTCAATATAATAATCTCTCTAGTCGAGCGCGCGCCGCCGAGCTACTTCGTAATACGCCTCTCTGTCTGTGCGGGGATCTCTCTGTGCGTGTCTGCGCGTGTATGGTATATTAATGAATGAACGTATAATCGCGAATCGGATCGCTCGACGCGTATATATACATATACATACAGATGTATATAGCCGCGGCACAATGCAAGAGTGGAAATAAAATCGTTCCGATTCGCGGCGCTGCGCAGCTTGCACAGCTTGCGTTATACATATATAATAAAGTATATATATACCTCTGTTATACAGCGCGGACACCCCGAGCGAGCGGTGTATATATATATAGGTAGCGGCGTATATCGCTGTGTACGTATTACGGCTGTGTATAAAACTCGCAAGCTCGGTAAATCCTTTAATTTCGAGCTTTATGCTCGCGCGAACGCCGTAAAAGAAAGGGGATGAGAGTGAGAGAGAGAGAGAAAAATTTCCTACGGGTTGATAGTCAGCACGCTTGTTTTATTGTGTAAAAATTACTCTCTCTCTCTCTCGCTCCTCTTTCTCTCTTTCTTTCTTTCTCGGTTACGCGGTAGAAGGAATTAATTTTTTTTTCTTCTCGTTTTTTTTTCTCTTTTTTGTGCTGCTGCTGCGATGCTTCCCCTGGCGCGCGTTATGAATGGATCTGAATCTTGAAATGATTTTACATGTTATATAACATATATAATGCCTTTCGTACCGAGAGAGAGAGAGAAAGAGAGTTCAAGAGTCGCGCGAAAAGGGGATTAAGGTATGTATGACGTTGGTTTAGCATTAGCCATAGGAAAATGCCTGGATATATATAATGTAAAAAAAACGACGAAGAGAGAGGAGAGAGAGGAATCGAGCCAAGAAATAAGAGTTTTTCCCGAACAGCTTTTCAACGAGTTAAATTCTCATTCATACGTAACTTGAAAAGGAGCTAGAGAGAGATACGTTACAGCTAGCACAGAGCTATAGGAACTACTACTACTACTACTACCACTGCTGCTGCATACTAGGTCCGCACATACGCACACACTGCGGCACGTCAGAGGCAACGTCCCACCATCCTCTCGAACAAATCCCCGAGGAAATTTCATTTCTCTCCCACACATGTGTGTGCCGGTGGGGGTAAAAAAAAGAGAGAAAAAAAAAGGATAGAGAAGAGTTTTTTTTATGCAGCGCTAGGCTAAAGCCTTTGCGCGAGATTCTCCGACTTTCTCTTGCTCTTCGCGTACGCATACACACGTATGTATGTACGTACGCGAGTGAGGAAAACTTTGATGCACTGCGGGTTGCTGCGCTAGCTCGCGAAAGCACAAACGTGGTACGATGCATAATAATAATTCTTCGTGTGCCTCTTTTGCACTCGAATCGCGTAATTTTTTTTCGGGATCGGCGATAATTGTTCGATCGTGACTCGTTTTTTTTTTATATAACCACGATGCTTTCGAAAAATCAGCGCGTATGAGATAAAAGAGATCTCGTTGGTCATCGAAAATACTATTATGCCATAAAAGTTCGAGCTTTCAGGCGCATTGGAGTGTAAAAACGATCCCTCGGTATAATAATCAGACTCGACGCGGTAACAGAAGCAGCAGCAGCACCAGCAGCACCGCGTTTAACAATTTTTAAATTTTCCATTATTCCGCGTAACGCACACAAGTGTTCACAAGAATATATAATACCAACCGAAACGATGACGATGATGATGATTTTTTTTTTGTTTCGCGTTCAAAGAGATATTTAATACCATTTTTCATGCGTGCGAAGCTTTTTTTTCTCCCTCAAACCCTCGACTCTCGCGTAAAGAGTTTTCTATATACGGTTTATTATACGTCGTACAGAAAGAACGAAAGAAAGAAAGAAAGAGCAGGAGCAGGGGGTAAAAAAAAAAAATTAATACACATGTACGGACACGAACTTTTCTAAGCTCTTTGCACGCGGAGATATATATACGTCGAGCTTGCTCGAGCTTGCGAGTACGCTCGCACGCGGTACTTTGTACCAGTAGGCGTATCGTCGAAAGCACAAAAAATAATAAAAATAAAAAAAAAACACGGGCGCGGGGGGAAGAAGAAAGAAATTTTTTTACAACTCATCGCTGTCGTGCATGCCGGGCTGGGGGGTGCACTTTTATGCCTTAGCAACACACAACGATTTACAGCGCGCGCGAGCGCGAGGAATATGGCCATGCTATTTGACTCTTTTTTTTTTTTTGTTGCGTTGCCGCTGCAACCCATACGTACATATTCACCTACGTCTATTTACTCGGCCTCTCTCGCGCGCGCTTCAACTGCCAATGTTTATCATAGTCATTCTCCCTTCATTTCGCCTCGATTTTAATTTTTGCCCCGTTTTTTTTTGCTGCTGTAGTAGTTTTTATTAT